GAAGCTAGATTTGCTGTTTGGTCACAGGCCCAGCTGGTGGCACTCAAGGCTCGCTTTTCATCATGCGGAATATAGGAATGAAATATAATGGCACTCCCTGAACCTCTAGTTTTGTCAAGTAGGAATGTGGTCATGCTGTGAGGGTCACGTGGCTGTTTGCGTTAAATATCTAGAATTGGCACTTGAAATAGTCCATATCGCAAACTACATCACAGCATCTTTTTCTTTTTTCAGATTTGGTTTGAGGGGAAACCAGAGTGAACATCTGAATTGATGTTAACAAGTTTTAGTCAGTGTGCCACTGTGGTACTGTCCGTCATTCCTGACATCCCTCCCTAGAGGGCGCTCCACTACTGCCGTTATTGTTTCTGTGATTAAGCTCCCCAGGTGAACCTTTTTAGGTTTATTATTTAAAGACTAGCTCCGCCAGTACTCGGAGCTCATTATTAGTATAAGTATGTCGCGAAGCCCGCCTGGCTACGGCCGTCTCCTGAGGGCATAGGCCTCATCCCCGACACCGCCCGCTTCCTGGAGGATCTCGCCCCGTCACCGTTGGACCTCCGTGTCTTGTCTGTCCGTGTGTTCCCCCCTCACGGGGATTTTAACCTTGTCGCGTCCCAGGACGGATTACTCGCCGCTGGACTCCCGGACTGGGCCCTGACCTGCCTTTGGACCTGTTTGGATTTGGATGCCGTTCTTTGTCTCCCCCGTTCACTGTCTCACGGACTGTCACTATTATTTTGTGCACTATTAAACCCCTGTGTGTTCCCTTTTACCACGCCTCCTGTTTTCTCCAGCTCTTACCGCATCGTATAGGGTCTTCTACAAGACCCGACACGGATCTCAGTCCGTGTTCGTGACACTGTCTCATTCTGGAAGGGGTGCCTGCCCCAGTGTTTTGCCATGCAAATTGTCTACCAGCAGCCTCCCTTTTGAGAGCAGGTATTTTCTCATCGAATAGTAGTTTCACAATCATTTCTGCTGAGATTCACATCTCCTCTCCCCTTCAGTTAATGGCCTTCTACTAGGCCACTAAGTTCATTCTATAAATGTGCTAAGCTGTCAAAGTATTGCACTGTCAAGCATTTCACTAATTGAAAACAGCAGGAGGGCTGGAGCCCAGGGTACATCCAGTAGCAAAGGCTCAAGCAATTTTCAGAACTCCAATACTCTGCTTCTGTAATACTTTTTGTCTAATGCACACTAGAGTGCCATTTCAGCCATTATATTTCCCACTAGACACTTCTAGTAGAAATAATAAACAAGGTACTTGAAAATAATGCACAGGCGCCGCCCCTCTCAGCATCTAATATTCTGAGGTTGGCTCTCAAAAAGTGCACAACACAAATGCTTGAAGAGCTGCGTTTCATTTGATCTCAGCAGACAAAAGGGAAAATAATTCCAATAAGTTCTTGTGCCAGTGGGCTCTTAAAACCACATAAACAAATGTCTTGATGTGTCGTTATGGTGGTGGGTATAATCAGCTTACCATCTTTTTTTCAAGACTGTTTCAGAACACGAAACAACGTAACTGCGAGTCTGAATAGGCGCACTCGTTAACAGACAGCTGAAAGGGAGAATAAAATAAAATACACAGACCCTAACGCTCAGAGAATAGAGAAGACAAGCGGATAAAATAGTGAAGGGAGTATTGCCAGACGAAACTGTATTGACTCTTGATTGACACTCGTATTCTGTACCTAATCATTTCCTGTTTTAGGACGGACGTGACTTATGTGGTTCCGCTGCATGTCTGATGAGGGCGCTGGAGATTTCTGGTGCGCTGAGGCCAGAGCATCAAATTGAGAAGGTTGTTTCATAGTCCCCTCAGGAACTATGCCCTAATGACCAGAGGGAGGACTGGGATCTGTAGCATATTTGAGAAAATGTTAAACATACTCTGGCTTTTGAAGAAATGAGTAACAATAATTCATATTATAATTATTACCCGCTTTTATTTCTGTGCCTAGATAGACCTAGAACCTTAAACTGTAGCAGGCTTTTTTTCTGACAGAAAGAGTTGAGAAAACTCCGCAAGAGAATCAATATCCGTAGATCATGAGAAATACCAATATTTAAGTCCTGCATCCACAGTAAAATCATTTGTTATTACTCTTATTCTATTTACCTGGATGTACTTCAGCGATTCCCGAGTGGTATTTGTGATAAACCATGACCTTTTGTTTCCTGCTACCACTCGGCAGCGTCCTGCACTAAATTGACTCTGCACTGCGAGTCAGGATGTGCCCAGAGCACTATCTATCTCCCTAAACTCTGTCCAGGCAGTGCGCTGTGCTGTGGGTGTCCGGCCCCTCCTCTCGTAGCTACTGACAAGGAAAGCCCCTCTCTCGGCTTTCTGCGGACTCCCTCCGCCGCACACAGCTACAGGCGCTGAATTGGCTGTGCCCGCCGGCTGGCTCTGAACAGAATTGCCCCCAGATTGCTTTGCCTCACACTTGTCATGTCTGCCAAGGTTAGATGAGTCGAAATTATCTGCAGTAAAAAAAAAAAGTCACTACGGTTTGACAGCCGCCTTCTACGTGTCTGTATTACAGAGTACATTTTTTTTTCTCTGGCCACAGAGGGGCGCCATTCTCCCTGCCTGTCCAGACGCCCGAAGAGGGGTCGTGCCAGTCGCAGCCAGTGTGTGATTCATTTTTCACCGTGGTTGTACTTTGTTCTGCTTAAATTGCTTCTTCCTTGAATATAGTTTGTGTGTGTCTGTGCCCTCATGAAAAATTATTAGGTTTGTATAATTGCATCACAATTTCACACTGCTTTCCTTGGTGTTTCCTGTATGCCTTGTACCATCTTACTAGAATTCCCCTATGCTTTTAATGAACAATGTTTTATTAATTTTTATTATACAATATAACCATGGCTCCCCATAGTCCATGATTCAGAGTAACTGTGCACTAGTGTTAACGATTTACACCTGATATCTCTTCATCTAAAGAGTGTCTTTATGAAGTGTTAAATCGTGGCGTTTAACAGTCTAGAGTAGTGGAATACAGTGAAAAGAAGACAGGCATATTAAAGCTAGTTGGAAGTAAGGCAAGTTTGTGTAAAATGTGAGAAAACGTGAGGGCAAAAGTGTGAATTTAATTTACCGTCACATTCACCAGTGTGAACTGCCATATGTTTCCAGCTGGAAATACTTTTCAACCAAGCAGCTGCTTGCTGATAATTAGTGTGTTTTTAATCGTCGTGAATCTGCAGGACGTCTTAACACCGCTTCATCGTAAACCCCGCGAAGCAACAGGTAGGTCCCCG